TGCCCCCGGAGAGCGGCCCGCCCGGCCGGGCGCCCAGCAGCGGGTCCCCGGCGCCGGCGGGCGAGGCGCGCTGCGGCTGCTGCTGCTCCGCCGCCTCCTCCGCCGCCGCCTCGGCCTCCAGCCCGCGCGAGGCTTTCTTCACCTCCACGAAGGCGCTGCGCTTGGCCTCGCCCGTCTCCGGGCTGGGCGGCCCGAAGAGGCGGCCGCTCTCCTCCAGGCCGAAGTAGCTGCCCGCGGGCCGGTACTGCTGCTGCGGGGTGCACACCAGGTCCTCCTTGGGGGAGGAGGGCAGGCGCCCCCTGCCGGCCCCCTGGCCCCGCTCCTCGCCCGGCTCCTCCGGGTATTTCCGCTTGGCTTTGCTGCCCGCGCCGGGCGGGGGGTGCGGGCTGCGGCTGGGCGAGCTGCCGCCGGCCCGGGAGTTCTCCAGCTCGCGGGCCAGGTTGTGGAAGTCCGTGGAGGGTTTGGCGTTGCTGCTGTCCTGGGCGGGGCCGGGGTAGTGCGGGTGGAGCGGCCCGCCGGGCTTGCTGTACTTGTTGGGCCCGGGCCCCAGGCTGGCCGCCGGCTCCTTGCCGCTGTCCTTGCCGCGCGGCTCCTCGGCGGGGCTGGGCTCCGAGCTGGGCAGTCTCTTGGGGCAGCGGAACCGCAGGTGGGCGGCGTAGGGGAACTCGAACTGGAAACGCTGGCTGCACTCCAGGCAAGCGTACGGGGGCGACCCTGCACCGAGACACAACACACAACAACACCGATTAGTCACCGCTCCGGGCCGGCAGCACCAACCCCCTCCGCTAACTCTGGGAAGGGCGCGCATCTTTGCCGGACTGGCAGAGGATGGAGACCGGAGCCCATTCAGTTCTCTGGGGCAGGGCCTGGCTTCTACTCTGTGTGTGGACAGGGCCTGGCAGAATAGGGCCCCAGCCATCATTAGGGCCGCTAGGCTCTACCGGAATAGTCATATAATAATGAATGACCCTTTATCCGTGTCACTTTTTGCTTTTGAGCCCGTGGAGTCTAAACTAACAGATTGTAGCCCCTAATCTCATCTTGCATTTCCAATATGTTTATAAGTGATGCTCCGGACTACCTAATTAACATCCCTTTAGTCAAGCTAATTTGCTCAGCTCAGTCCGCACCTCGCCTCTCTCTAACGTTGTGGGCTGCATATTCCTCACCGGAATCTTTCTCACTGGCATTAAATGGTTTAGATCGCTTCTTGAAAACAAAACAAAAAGATAACCCAACCCAGCTCTTCCGGGGGAGATACAGACCCCTGGCCTGGAAGCAGCACCTACCGTTCATCTTGCTGTGGGATCTGGCGGTGGTGAGCAACAGTAATTCCGTCAGTTCTTTCCCATACCAAACTAATAACTCCTCGTCTTTGGCAATCCTGCGAAGGGACCGATAAAACAATTGTCCATTTTTGATGTAAGCTTCTAGGTTCTGTTCTTCTTTATCTCTGGCTGACTGGACCAGACGGAGCCACATTAGCCCTTCGGAGGAGCCATTTGCTGCGGAAGTGTCCACCTACGTAAGGAAGGGAATGCAAGAAATCAGAGGCGGCCAAGTATTCCCCCACTCCTCACCCCCACAGACTTTTCACCGGGCTCCGGAAAGGCCAGGCACTCGCGCTTGTCGGAAGTGTGCAAGTCTTGAAAAATACCTGTGGCTTTTCTGGGCCACTGAATCCTGCCAGCTACTGTTTAAACGTTTTAATTGATTTGTGCTAGCAAAGGACAATGTGAATGCGGCCTGTTCTCTCCCAAACTTTATAAAGGCACAATTACATGACCACATCTGCATAAGGTTTATGTGAAGGAAATCATGTAAATAAACCTTCCAGGACTCCAAATGATCACTTCTCCCTCCTCTTTTGTGGGTGGGGGAAAGATGTACAGGGAGAGCAAGGTTTGCTAAAAGAGCATTAAATCCATTAAAATGTTTTAAAAATGGAAACATCTGTTCAGTCTATCTTAAATGCCACCATAAGCGGCAGCTCTGGAAAGGCATCTCCAACCATAATCATCTGGGTTTTTTTCCCAAAGGTTTTCGATGCATATGCAAATGACAGCTGATGATGGGTCAATCCTGCTGGCTTTCATCACAGGAGTAGTCCCTTTGAAGTCAACGGGGTTACGGGTGTGGCGAAGGCGAGCAGAATTTGGCCCGATCTGTATTAATCAATCGGCACAACCAAGCGATTAAAAGGGCAATTTGAGTTCTGTATGGAAAACCCTTGGGTGAAGTGGAAAACGTTAGTGAATTCAGTCCCCACCCTCCCAAAGTGCATCCTGGTGTCCCAGCGGCTCCTTTACAAAAGCAAAGGACGCGGGGAGAGAATTTAGTGCGGTTATATCTTGGAACCAAACCATCCTTACCCGGAATATATAAGGGACGGTTCTCTTGTCAGTGGATTTAAGCGCTATGAAAGCGATGCTGTCATACAAAGAAGTATGGCTCAATACACAAGGGCCGAAGATCGCATTTTCCGGGATATCGCAGGTGGTGTAAACACTGGTGAAAATATCCGTCAAACATTGCTGGACTGCCTTGGCGTCTCCATCCCATATACCCCTTTGAACGCCGGTGTCCTCCATCACTAGGGGCGGAGAGAACAGGGGAAGGAGACGCGTTACATAACTTGTACTGAGGGCACGGAACACGTTTTGTTTTTTTGTTAATACCAAGTAAGAGTGTCATTGATTTTAGGGGAAAACGAGGATTAAAAACGTCCCACTTAATCGTGACTCCTAATTAAAATGTTTGAAAAACTGACAGCACAGGCAAGCCGCTCTCATCTGTGCAATATTTAAAAAATAAAGACGGCGTATTGAAATGAATGAAAGGAGAGGTTCGAGGAAGCTGTCGCGGTGATTCATTTATTAGGAGACCCTAATAACAGGAATAATAATAGGTGGCTCTGTGCATTAACCATACACGCGGGGGCTGGGGGGGGGGGAGATCTGCATATTGACCCTCTAAAGCTAAAGCAACTTCGAGGAGTTTTTATCCGAGCAAGATTCTGTAGCGCTGATGTGCTGGGTTTTTTCTTCTTCTAAAGAGAGGTCCGGTGCTCTGTTGCACGCTGTGACAGGAGAGCATAGCGAATGGATTTCAAGTGGACTGTCAATGTCACTGATTTCATGTCAGCTAACCTTTCGCTCTACTCTACAAGAGGGAACGTATGTCTGCTCATTATCATAATCCAGCACTTTCCCTCCGAGACTTTAATTAAAAGCCGCAAGCAGAGGTAATTATTTTTTACCTCGACACGCTTATTTATGGATGAGGGTGAATCCCAGTTACCTTGTCATACAAGGGGATAGATTTAGTCAAATGTGACTTGGGAATGTGCAGGTAGGATACAAGCAGCAAAGTCTCTGGCTGTGAATACAATTTGTGAAGCGAGTTGTGAATTCTGACTTTCCCATCTATGACATTCCTGCTGTAAAACGGGACTGTGATATTGGCAGGTGTCTAGCGCTGGGGCTTCCCGTTTTAAATCACCCTCGGCTTAGCTTTTTCCAAAAAGTACCGATCCTCTCTATACTCCGGTTTTTAAAGCCCAGAGAGAGAGGAATAGCTGCACAACGAGTTAGGAATTCTGCCTCCATTTACAAATAGCTTAGTTTGTGGCTGCCTTTAAGTGGCATCGATCTATATTATTTGTTTTTTCTTTTAAAAAAAAATATTCTACCGGCAGACTGTATAAACCCCTTTTAAATGGCTTTCCCCCGTATTTTAAGAGAGAACTGTGCCATCAGTAACTTATTTCTTTAGAAGCCAGCGATGGAAGGGCCAGGAAATAGCGGCCCCTAATTATTTATTGAAAACGGGTGATTATAGAATAATATTGTTACTGTCGCTGATTTATCCTCCTGTGATTTATCATCCAATTAAGCACTTCAATTCTAAAACTGATTTAAAAAACAAAACAAAACACTAGACCATGCCTCTAAAACGGGCATTTCCAAACTACCGGTGTATTTTGCCCTAATCCGTGTCACATTTGTCTCTCACCCAGAGCGAAATTAAACCCTCAAACGTGCAACTTCATTGATTATTCTACGGTGGCGAAAGACACCCCCACCCCCTTGCCCGTTTCGGAGCAGTATAAAAAGAGCATCAAATAACCCACCGCTTCTAGGATTTTTTTTTAAAACGTGCCTGTTTTCTCGTCTCCTTTCATTTCCCTGCAGTTCAGTGATATAGCCTCTCCCTCCCCCCGAGCTCCCTCCCTTGTTTGTTTGTTTATTTAATGTTAAATCCCTTTCCCACAAGCTTTTCATCGCAGTTCTGTGTAACAATACCGGGGAACGCTCCTCTGGAGCAGGGGTTTAACACTAAGAATAACCCCCCCCCCCACGGGGATCACAGAGCTCCCTGCCTCGCTTCCTCCCTGTTGCCCCCCACTCCTTAACAAAAACCAACCCCGTGGTCCTCTCTTTCTCCCTCGATCCCCTTCTCCACAGCCAGACGCGCTCGCCAAAAGCAAAGCCACCTCCAGTCATTGTTTGTTTCCCTGCACCGAGCGGAGCTCAATGTTCAACCCCCCGTCTATTTCTCTTGAAAACTCCTTTCCTTTGTATCGATCTGCCCGGCGGCTTGTCTCCCCCGTGCTTTTTACTGCTAGAAAATAAACCCCGGGAGAAGAAAAGAAACCAACCCCGAGCTCCCCCCCGCACGCGTATTTACTTACCAGGAATCAGGTCAGAATATAATCCCAAACGCCAGGAAACCCGAAAGTGGCCAAGGATGGGCTGCTCTCCGTGTTCCCCCCAGTGTCTATTGTATCAATGTATTTCCATGGCAGTGGGAAAGGGTAGGGCTGCTGTCCTGGGTGCTCTGTGCAAAGAGGTGGAAGGAGAGACAGAAAGAGAAAGAGAGAGAGAGAGAGGGCGAGTTGTGCAGATGGACCCGATGCAGTGACTGACTGGCACACAGATGCACACTTTTTGTTTGCTGCACATAATCTGCCCAATGACGCGTGACAGCCCACGTCCCCTCCCTTTAACTCTTTAGTAGGCTCGGCGCTTTCCCTGCCTGTCTCCCCTCCCTCTCCCCTTCCTGCTCGCTTCCTGGAGGTGCAGCCCGCCCCCCACCTTTCCCTTGGGATCCCAGAGCCCAATGCTTTGAGAGCATCCTCTCAAAGCGCTTTTTGCGGCCTAAGAATAAAAGAGGAACCTTTTATTTTAAAGGGATGACATGAAAACCGCTTCAGCATGCTTTTTATTATTACGATGATGATTGTGACTTTGGTATGTGTGGGCAGCAAGAATGTCTAGCCCAACTGCAGCCTGGGTCTCAGAAGAAGGAGAAACATTCCCAGTATAAGTCTCCTCTTAGAGGCTCTCACCGTGAGACTGCGCTCCCATTACAGATGGTGATCCTGGAGAGGGGAAACTCCTAGATACTTGCTTGGATTAAGGGGAAGAATTTAACCCCTTTCCTTAGTCAGCAAGCATCACTCTGTAGCTGTTAACTAGGCTAGGACGAAGTTTAACAGTAGGTTGGGGGTGGGGGTATTTAGATGCCCCGGTGTTACAGTAGCCATTCTTATTTCATTGCTAAACCGGCTATGTATAACAAATGATCCTGGCCCAATAGCCACCCTTCTAGATACACACGATCCCTTTGCTCGCTCTGAAGATAATCTTCACCTGTTTGCAAGTATCTCGCTGCATTTACAATCCACTCCCTGGCTTTGAGCCCCGTGCAGTTGCAGAATTTTTCCTCCTCTTGTTCATTCAGCAAAGATCCCTTGCTGGGGAGGTATTCTCTGGATTTTTAAAGCCCTGTGTGGAATTGCACAAACTATTAAACTTTGGGATCTAAAACGAGCGAGACAGGACTGGGACTGTCGGAAATGTTACTATTCAGCCAACGGGGTTTGGTCTTACAATGCAAGGAAGAGCCTTGGCCCTGACTTTGGCTTGCAAGTGTCTGTCCAGGTCATAGGCTATTCTGTGGTCTATTGGTGTCGTTTTTCCTTTCATTTTAGAAACCAAAAGATCCTCTTGCCCACAGTAAGATGGGCTTGGCATTCAGTTTCCTCCAGGGTGAATGTACTCAGGGTCCTTCCCCTGGGAGCCCCTCTCTTCTGCAAAGAGACTATGAAAGATACATGCAATTTTTTTCTAAAATGAAATATAATAATATAAAAATAATAAATCCCCTCCACCCATTTCGTCTGGGATATTTTACTGCTCTCTCGCTGCCCTGAACCTTTCTTCTTTAGCCCTGGAATAAACAAGGGCCTTTCCTCTGAATAAACACGTTTTAGCAGTAAGGAATAGCGAGGAGGGAGTTAGTCCAGGCTCTGCACATACGGGGGGAAGATGAAACGTTATGAGGGGAGGGTAGTGATAGCAGGGCGGAGGGCGGGGGTTCCTCTTTTGGCTGGATAGCAGTGTCGTAAGTTGACACCTTGGGTCACCTCAGGAAGGGGTTCTTGGGGCTGGCAGTGTGGCCGAGAGCGCAGCAAAAGAAGGGACCAGGAGAACTCCTAACCCACTGACCTGCGCCTCCCTGCATCCCTCGCAGATGGGAGGCAGAGCAGGATGGTTCTGATGGGACAGCGCCTTGCTTTGTCACTGACCTCTCCGCACTGGGGCGAGGAGAATCCCTGAGCTCTCACATGGCTTTGTCCCGTCGGGAAGCCAACTCAGATCCGCTTGGTACACCGCAGCCATAGGTGAAAGCCCCTGGGGGAAGTTAGAGAGAGAGAGAATGAAATTAAACGGCTTAACATGGACTGCTTTCCCCTCCCCCCTTCTCTCCGCCGCCTCTGGCTTTCCAAAGGCAACGTCTTAAACCCCAGCTCCCTTCAGGTCCCCTTTAGACCATTAGCTTTGGTGATAATGTGCCTCGCCTGGAATAGACTCCCTGGGGGATTCTCGTCCACACATTCTACATCCACTAGGTTATGGTTGTGTTTAGCAGCCCCTCTTCCTACTAGTGACACCTAACTCTCCTGCACTGGGTTATTCCCCCCCCCCCCAGTACAAAAGAGCCCCAGAGAAGGGGATCCATAAAGCCCCATCAAATAAACCACTTTACTATGAGAAGGGAAAATCCACACACACAAAAAAGGACCAGGCAGAACTAAAGCAAACTTGCAGGGGAACCGCAAGTCCCTTCTCCCTGCGCTAGGATGAGACGGAGAAGGGGGGATGTTTGAGGCAGGGTTGGCAGCAGCAGCGAGAGGAATGGCCCCTAGGTGTGAGCGCCTCGAGGCTAGATACGGATTCCGCAGGGAACCGCGGTCCATATCAAAGGCACCAGGGGACTGCTTTCAAACTCCGCCGGCCTGTATTGACGCTTAAAAGCGAGGCTAGTACCTTCCCCAGCTGTTATGGAGGCTGGGCCGTCCGGTGCTGCAGCTCGCCCTTTCCCTGCCTAACCACCCTTTTGGTTCACATTATTGCTGTCTTTTTAGAAGCGGGTACAGCCCTTAGCCCGTTAGCGAGCCCGCCTTTCTCAAAGCTTTGGGAAAGTTCCCAATAAGTTTTGCATTTTTATTTGTACAGGAAAAGGTCCTTTTACATAGTCACTATACGGATGGCACCTTCAGAACAAAGCCTGGCTGTTTACCAGTTCCTCACCTATCTCCATCCTTCCCAACACAACGTAGATGA